AGTGACGTGTTCCTACACCATGTGCATGCCATTTCTAACTTATTTATTTTCTTTTTCATTATTGATGATATAATTATATACCCGTCTAGGTTGCCCAGTAGTTAATATGTATCTTCTCTACTTCATCTCTACTTGAAAATTATCATATTTGTATTTTTGTGTATATGGGTCTTGCAATCAAACAAGAGAAAGTGTGGTCCCGGATCAGGTAGCCCAATTCAGAGGAAGATTCATTTTGACAATCAAGATTTCGCAAGACAACCGTTATCACCCTTACGACATAACTCCCCAGATCGTAGAATGCATAATAAGTAACTTGATAAACTTTTTTTTTTTTTATAATCCAAATAATTGAAAATAAAGGAAGTACAAGGGGTACTCCAACCCATTACAAAATACCACATGTGAACTAAAAATATCGTTCCACAACTAGGAACCTAAGTTAGACCATCACATTCAGCCCACAACATTGGAATAAAAATTACAGAATCAGATTTCTCTAATAGACTTGTTTACCACCTGAATACATTTACCTAGGTGAGGCAAGCTGCTGGATTCATGGACCAAGAAGCAAAGTCGTACCTAAAAACTTTATGCCTTGTCCTTAACCAGTTCCAGGTTCTAATTTTAACCAAATCTACCATCTCCATTGCAGATATTTGAGTGGAAGAAAAGACCACTTCATTCCTAGCCAACTACACTGTCCATATGATGGCTAACCAAATAAATATCCAACAATTATTATGGATAACTGTGCTAACACCTAACCAGTTAAAACATTCCATCCAAACTCGATAAGATTCATGACACTCAAAAAACATATGTGATCTAGTCTCCATGTGGCCCGTGCAGCGAGAGCACTCAACCTGTGAACTGTTCAAGATGTCTCTAATAAACAAATTGTGTTTAGTAGCAACTCAGTTAAGAATTACCTTCCAAGCGAAAGCTGTAACCTTTGTTGGAACTACTTGCGACCATACTTTTGAAAATATTTTATTGGATGCAAAAATCCTTTCATTTCTAATCTCCTTATATGCAGACTTGACAGAGTAAATGCCACTAGGATCAGTAGTCCAACTCCAACAGTCTTCTACTTCAGCCTTCAGATTTAGCTCATTGATTTCTGTTGTAATAAAATTCAATAGATCTTCTTCCCACTGAAATAACGCTCTACGCCATCTCCATCACCACTCAGGGCCTCCATTCCTCCAAACTACCAAATCTGAGATTTTAGCTTTCTTATTTTCTGCGATGAGATACAATCTATTATACCTTTTTGTGACAACCTACCTCCTTGCAACCAATCTTCCTCCCAGAAATATGTATTTTTCCCATTCCCAACCACCTTTCTACACCTATTTGTCATCCAATTGTTGGTAACCATATTGTCATTCTCAATGCTACACAAGTCAGCCCACCATCTAGAACCTTTCACCCTTGACCCACTTGAAAGGAATAAATGGTCTCCATACAAGGAATTAATAACCTTTACCCACAAACTATTAGTCTCCACTAACATCCTCCATTTCCACTTTCCCAGTAATGCCAAATTGAAAGCAGTTAGATCCTTGATCCCTAAACCTCCTTTATTCTTCTCTCTACATACGTCATCCCATGCTACCCGATGTATTTTTTTATGATCAGCATCCCCTCCCCATAAAAAAGATTTAAATAAAGATTCAAGTTGAGAAATTATTCCTCTTGGAGCCTTGAAGAAGGAGAGGAAGTAAATCGGAATTGAATGTAGTATAGACTTTAAGAGAGTAATTCTGCCACCAAAGGACAGGGAATCAAGCTTCCATCTAGATAATCTCTTTTGGATTTTCTCAATTACAGGTTGCCACGTATCTAATCATCTCGGATTGGCGCCGATTGGTAGCCCAAGATAAGTAAAAGGTAGACTCCCTATCCGACAATGCAAAAACATTGCCATTGATTGTAGTCAAAGAGTATCCACATGGAATCCGAGTAATTGACTTTTAAAAAAATTGATTTTTAACCCAGATGCAAGTTCAAAAAGTCTTAAGATGGATTTGATAGCCCAAATGTTTGACTCTTTTGCTTTTGCCAAGATGATAGTGTCATCTGCATACTGTAGAACATCCACCTGTTGGTTTCTCTCGACTTCATATCCCGTGAAAGTGCCCAACTGACTAGCTTTTTTGAAGAGCCCATTCAATCCTTCGGCAACAACCATGATTTGCATTGATAAACTAATAGTGTGATTAGTTTGAAGTTGAAAATTGTCACACAACCATGATTTGCGTTGGAATGTGTGCTAACGGGCGATGAGTTTTGATGATTATGCGGTTAGTTCTAACATTTTTTTCTCGATTTACATATGTGTTGAATGGTTGATCATTATTCGTATTTGTTGCTCCTAAGAACCACCATTGATCATTATTTGATTGCATGGAAGCATCTCTTTATTTTTTAGTATTTAAATTTGATTATAAAAATATTGATTTGATTTACAACCCAATGGGAGTGGTACCAGTGAGGGATGGTTTGAGTAAGTTGTTAAACAAAATCTGTATGAGACGTGAAGTTGTCTATACTTGATTTGACAACGATAGGTCAAGTGTTATAATTTAGTAGGATTTAGCCACTTAAATTAATCACTTTTGTTGTAGGAAATCTTTTTAGTTAATATGCGTGACAACACATTAGTTGTATGATGATAATGTTGTTGAGATGAAGTTGTTAAGTTACTTTATGTTGTAAGTTGCATGATGAAGTTGATGTTGTTCATGTTGACATTGATGTTGTGCTTGCATGTTGTTTTTATTTCACACACTTACCTTATTTTTTCCTTGTGATTGAAACTGTAATGGTCATACTTAATATAGGAACAGGATAAGATTAACAAGTCTGCTTAGGTTAGTTGGCAACGAATCATACTTAGAGATGACTCCCGTTTGTGTTGTTCTTTTTGTGGTGGTTAGGTCTTGTACAGTCACTTGATCGATGAGTACAATTATTTATATATTTTTGTATATTTTGTATGTAGATTGGATATGTTTATAGGTTGTGCTTTTATATCTTCTACCTTGTACATATATATCAATGTACATGATAACCTTAAGCTAGTTGTATGTTATTTTACTTCTCTGCAACTTAGTAGTCATATTATAGTAAGGGTAGTTGATGGAATCATGCTTTGGAGTGCAAGAGGTGACATACTCAAAGATCCAAGAGGAGTTGGCTAGACATGAAGGTTTGGGCCAGTCAGGGCCCAATGGGCCTTATGGGCCTGGGAAGGCCCAAGTTGAACTTTTCATGGGCCATAGTTTGTTATAGCTATTTTCATATGTTTTGTATACATCATGTTAGTATAGGTATCATATATTTTGGTCTTGTATTTTGGACCACATAGAGTAGCATTTTAGGTTTTAGGCTAGTTGGGCCTAGTTTTGGGCTTCATGGGCCTTTGGGCTTTTGGTACCCAATATTGGGCTCATTTTCATTCTTGTAATTTTTCCTTTCCATTGTAATTGTTTGACCAATGTAATTAGGTCATTAGAATAGGAAAATACAAGGAATACTAAAGTATGCTAATTAGGTTAAATTAGGTTTAATTTGGAAGTCATTTAAGTTACATTTGAGTCACATGTTTAGCACCATGGGTGGCTGAACATGTGCCACTCAAATTAACCCTAAATGACTCTCAAATCACACCTAAATGCACCTTGGTACCTAAATTTTCGGACTTACACATGTGCACCAAAGTTTGAATTCAAAATTCAAATTTGAATTCAAACTTTAGGCGCCATTTTGTGAGGCTTTAGTTTAGGCACCTATGGGTCACAATTCCGTGCATACTTAAGCCATTCTTTCACCTTTTGTATTCACTTTGAATGATTAATGAAATTTGTGAGCCATAGTGCCGAGTTTCCCTCTCAAAGTCTCCCTAGAGTTCATCTTCAAAACCTTAGGATTTCACCTTAGAATCCTCCTCTTTGAAGTGTGCTCTCCATTGATGCTTCAGCTTGGATGCTTCCCTCCTAGTTCTAGGTTGAGTTCATCCGTAAGTTTTTAGTTTCTAAGTGTTCTTGAGTTGAAGAATCAAGTCTCCATTGAAGAAGATCCGGCCTAAGCAAATCCGTGGAGAAGATCATCCATCACTTCTCCTAAGTTTGCTATCAGTAGTGACCTTTCGAGTCATTACACTAGTCGCATTTGGCAGGTATATATACTTGTTATTAGTTATCGACAAATTTCCCTAATTCAAATTTTTTTTCCACCTTTCCTTTTTATTAAAGACTTGCTCTTTATTGATATTTGTTTCGTTTGTTCAACTAGTATTATAGTTGATCCTCAAACTTTAAGATTTTGAGCTCAAGTCTTAGATTTGATAAAAAAAAATGATGCAGGAGGAATAATCCTAATATAGTCAAAGCTTCAAAGAAGACTAATTTATAACAAAATTAGTAGATACTTCTCTTAATACTATAATAAAAAAATAATTTTTCTCATATGATTGCACCATAAAAAATAGAAAGGAAAAAAAAAAGAGTAACACAATATTCAAATGAAAAGCATATAATTTGTGAAATCCACACAAGTGCTTAATTGGAAATTCATCCAAATGCATGTATAAGGTAAAAACGATGTCAAATTGAATGGAATATGTTGAAACGATGACTTCTCAACTCTAACGGACATTCGTGAACCTTGTGAAAATGTGCAAACAAATAAATTGCAAAAAAATATTTATATTTATTTATTTATTTATTTAATATTTTACACATTTTAATTAATATTAATAATTTTTTGGCATATATTCCTATTAACCACAATTATTCTCAATGATACTAAGTAAAAGTATTAGAAAATTATGAATTAAATATTATAGAAATTAAAAAAGTAATTTAAGCAAATTATTTGTCAAGAAACATTTTTGGATAGTTTGATTGATGAGAAGTGAGAAGTGAGAAGTGAGAAGTGAGAAGATAGGCGAAACGTTGTCGTTTTATTGATGAAGGTGGCCTTATCCACTGGGCGTCTTCACCTGGCAACACCCCAAAGCAGTGTCTGCTTCAATACTCATAAATCATAATGAGAAGAATAGGCCTGTCTTTGTGAATGAATGAATGAATGATGGCGCTACTACGTCTTGCCTGCTTAACTTCACCCCATTCCCAATCCACCCCTTTCCCTTTCCTTGGGAGCACACCCATTTCCCAATCCATCAATACCAACTCTTACTTCCGCTTTCCGCGCCTATCCCTCGTTACAACCAAACAAACCCTTAACCCCATTCTCCCACTCGCCACCGATTCCCAACAACAAACCCACGAAACCGCTCAACAAGAATTCTCTCCAACCAGGTTGCTCGCTCAGAACGTGCCCTGGACAAGCACCCCCGAAGACATTCGCTCCTTGTTCGAGAAACATGGCAAAGTCCTCGAAGTCCAGGTTTGTTTTTTCCCCCTCTTCTTTACGCTTCTCTTCCTTTCAGCTTCCTCTTTTTCTCACTAGCCTTTGCCTTGCTTAAGCTTTCAATGTATAAGAAAAACAGAAACCGGGGTTTGGCCTTCGTCGAAATGGCTTCCCCCCAAGAGGCTCTTGCGGCGCTCAATAACCTCGAATCGTATGTAAGCCTCAGACCCCTGTCTTTCTCTCTTCTTCTACTCATTTTATTATTTATCTACTTTTTCCTCCTTTTAGTCTAATTTTGCTCCCAATTATTTTTATTATAAATTCCGTCTCTTACTTTTTTTAAAATTACCAATGTTGAATACAAGTGGCCAAGTGCTCACTATACAACTTACATTTTGTTAGTCAATTAGGAAATCAATAGTATTAAAATAAAAATACAACATAATATATTGGTAATAAAAAATAATATTCTTTCTTACATAGAAATTAGCTGTGGCTAAGTAATTACATCTAGTATCTCTCATGGGAAATCATCATTTTCTGCTTAATTTTGAGTGGAACATTCATAATGGATTAACATTGTTTATTTCTGAATGTCACGGAATCAAATTTGTAACGAAAAAGTTTGGGGACTGAAATTAAATGTTTGTTAAATTATTGAGATTAAAAGTGGATTTAAGTCATATATAATAGATGCACATGCACACCTTGATAAATAATATTTGTCGTGTTTTTTTTTTTTTCCTTTCCTTGAATGGTGCTTATTAGGAGTTTGAGGGACGTGTGATGAAAGTGAATTATGCACGACCAAAAAAGATCAAAACACCGCCGCCTGTGAAACCAAAGCTTCCGGTGACATTTAACTTGTTTGTTGCAAACTTGTCCTATGAAGCGAGGTCCAAAGATCTCAGGGAGTTTTTTAATTCGGGAACTGGTAAAGTTGTTTCTGCTGAAGTTGTGTTTAATGAGAATCCTAGGAAGCCCTCAGGTTATGGATTTGTGTCCTTCAAGTCCAAGAAAGAAGCTGAAGCTGCTCTTTCTGAGTTCCAAGGAAAGGTAACTCGGGGTTTCTCAATTTGTTTGTGTGGATAATGTTATTCTCACTGATTTTAATTTATATGCAATGACTAGTGTTTGGAACACTGTTTTTAGTTGGGGTGACTCCGTGGAAACTGTTCTTCTGCAGGAATTTATGGGAAGGCCAATCAGGGTGGATCGCAGTCGGCGATTTGCTCAACAACTAGTGGCGAGGAGTGCAAAGTCTGAAGATACATCTCCTGAGTTGAGTGGGAGTGCAAAGTCTGAAGATACATCTTCTGAGTTGAGTGGGAGTGCCACGTCTGAAGATGCATCTCCTGAGTTGAGCGTGAATGGGGCAGAAGCTGACAAAGCTGATTGATATAATTTTTTCCCTGCATATCAATATTTTGATGCAGTATGTCCTTGCTTCAGACATTTTGATTGTTTCTTCATTCTTGCTGATTATTCATGGTCTTTGATCGGTTTACATTGTGTGTTTTACAGGCGTTTGCACCTTTATAAACCAGAGGCTCATGAGATACAAGGAACGAATAGGTTTAAGCACAAGCATTTCCGTGATTCAAGAAGGAATATTAGTATTAAATGAATGGTAACATCTCCATGGAATCAAGATATCTTCATTACTTAATTTAACAATTGTCCGGGTATGCTACTATATCTTAGGAAAGCGAGAAAATATGTATATCAATGGTGGTGGCGTTTGCATCTTTGCTGGTTAGTGGTTACTTCCCAATGACATGTATTGTGGATGTGGTCCAATATTTTTGTCTTCAATATAATGAGTAGTTTAATAATATTGGTTCAAAATTTACCAGTTGATTATATATATATATATATATATATATAATTTAAAAGTTTAGATGAGTTGAATCTTGGAGTTAATTAAGGTCGGAAAAGGTCACAAGACTATAAGAGTTTATAGAAATACTTACAAGTTATTCACCAATAACATCCTCGCATTGAAAAGAATCAAACTCATGTCCTTTTGAGATATTGATTAGTTCCTTACCAAATGAATAAACTTTTGTTGGGAAAAACTCATATAATGCATGTAATATAACAAAATATTAACCATTTCAATTAGTAATACTGAACACTTGTTTTGTGGATTTTGTCAGAGTAACTCAAAATCAGTTATTTGGTTTTGTTTTGTTTTAACTCAGCAATAACATTGCTTTGCTATAAGACGAAAGACTTGTCTTATAATATATGAATGAGGTCCGATAACTGTGGTAAGTAGAGATGTTTTACGAGTTTTGGAAATTTTACTAGACTACATAGCATCAAGATATGACACAACTGTCTGAACCTTCAGTAGTATCCGTTACTCACAATTTTAACAAACAGTAAAGGAAGCAAATGCACATGGAGCTTAGAAAGCTCAAGAGTCGTGGTGCATTGGTCTGTCATCTCCACCTCAAACTCATGTTGCACTTCTTCAACTCTTGTATCTCTGTGTCTACAAGTTGAAGCAGTGGTTCTAACTCGTGCAATTATAGATGTACATGCTCCATTAGTGTCTTTTCTGTTAGTCTTTTTGAGAATTGAGTCATCTATGACACTTAATCAACTATTGCTCTTTTACAAGCAAATAGGAATGAAAGTTCAAGAAAAATTAATAAAAATATAAGAGTTTAAAATAAATATATTTTTAATACACAATAGGAACATGTTTCAGTTGTGCAATTAGGTTTGAGGACAAAAATATATTTTTGTTGTGTAATGTACAACACTTCATCTACCAATACAAAGAAGAAAAAAGTGAAAAGAAAATAAGTTTGGGAGAGGAGTATGACGGAAACGGGTAAAAGGTTCGAATATGGAAGAGAGACGACGAATAGAGGTGACAGCAATTTTTAGAAGGGAGAGGGTGGGGAAAGGTTGGAGTTTAATTTGGTCTTCTAAAAGAAAAAAGAGAATGAGAATAGGAAAAAGGGGAGTGCAAATATCAATGGCTTATGATTCGAATCAATTATTTACTTTTAAACCATCAACTCACGAGGCTGTTAACCCCAAGTGACATTGGGCCTAATGAAATGCAAACACATGGTTTGCGTGTTTCGACTTGACGAGCAATTTCTTTTAGCAGTTTTATTATTTGAGTATTAAATTAACATCGACAATAACATTACGTACTATTATCATTTTTTTTTTGTATATATGTTTATATAAAATAATTTAATTTTGATTTATTGTCATTTTAAAGATTTTTATATTATCAAATAATTAAAATATTTTAAATATAAGTATTTATTATGAAAATAAAAAAATTTATCATACATGATAATTTATCATTGGATAATAATATAAAAACATAATGTAAATGCATTTACATTATTAGCATGCTCTAATTAAATTCCAAAAAATATACTTTGAAATCAAAACAAATAATTTGTTGTCCTAAATCCTAATTTTGGGTTATATAACGTTTTGCTTTTTCTTTTTTTCTTTTTTTCCTTTCAACCAGGTGTTAAAGTTAAAATCTTTTTACTGACAGGAACTTCTTTTCCTGTGCGACTGGAAGAAGAACGTAGCCTATGACGTGTGAAAGAGCAAAATAGTTTCTTGAATTGAGAAGCTAAAGATCACAGACACAAAAAAAAAATCATTAAAACCGACCTTGTGGTACAGGTCGAAGTAGTATTTACAAGATTTTAAATTCAAATCCAAATATTTCCTTTGTTATTCCTATGACATTAAAAAAAATGGTATTTTACTCAAACCAATAGATAAAGGACTCACCTGGAGAGATGTGAGCAAATCTAGCAGCTACATGAAAGAAGTATTCACTTCAAGATGCTTGGTAATCTTGGGAAACATGAACTTTTCAATTAAAATTTTTATAAGGAAAAAATGTATGATCTAATAAATTTATACAAATTCTATTTTCCATGACGTAGCAAATTCAAACGGGGGACAATAAGGTGAAGAACAAAGTTGTCTAACGTCAGCAACATCTGTTGATGACCATGTTATTATCCTAACATGGTGATATTTTTAGCAAGCCAACTTTTGTTTGTTCCACTTCATCTCATGCTATTCTACATATCAATAGCGTCTTGATTCAAGTTATTGAATGGGTTTTGATCTTACGTCAAATTTCAAGAGAGTGCTACACTGCGTAATTATGATAAAGTTCATCTGAATAGCTGGAAAGTAGAAACTCTTTAATTCTGATGATTGTTCCCTTGACATTAACTAAAAGTACAATAGTAGTTGGGCAAAGACTTAGGGACCCAACGGCCCTAACCATTGCAGCCTTTTTCTACGTAATGGGTTCGTCAGCCCATGAAGAGCCCACGAGAGAAGGTTTCAGACTTTCAATTATTACTAATAAACTAAATTAATTCCTAAAATTGAGTATAAGTCGACTTAATTCATGAAATTAAAAAAATGTCATTTCAATTATTAGTAATTGAAGTTTAACCGGTTACTTATCATGATTCTGGAGACTAATTTAACATGTTACTCAGCTTTAATTAGTGATGGTGTTTGGTAAGCTGTTAGGATCAAGATTTAAGATGTCACATTCTTTCCCAAACCCCATCTTTTGTCGCCACAGAGAAATTCTACTCTCGGTTGCCACGTTCACCATATCTTTTTTTCTCATGCTGACTTCCTCCATTTTACTTCCTTCCAAAGGAATCTCAACAAACCAAACTACTGTAATATTTTGCGTCACAGTACCTGAACCTTCCATTGCATGACTTGAAGTTTTAGTTCACTCCTTTGTTAAAAGTTTGGAAGTAAAAATAACAATTTCCTACATTGCCCCTTTAGTTAATCCAAATTTTAAGTTGTAAAACTATATCCTAATATTTAAATGTAATCTATTTTCACCCGGTTGAGAATAATTTTAAATATCGTATTTACGGGATAACAGCCTCAGTATCAAATATTCAAATTAATCTCAATCTTGACGGGTGTAATTTTTTTTTTTTTTTTAAGAATATAGATGTTTCTTTTTTTTAAAGATAGGAAAGATTATAAAGATAATCGCAATGAGAATTGAACTCATACTTTTAACTATACCAACCACTAAGCTAATCCTAGTAGTTAGAATATAAATGTTTATTATGTCGTGCAATTATTAATTTTACTTTTTCTAAAATGTTTCAATCTAACTGGAAAGTAGAAGCTTTACATACATTTCCATTCATTTAGAATGGCCATACAGAACAACGCAATGATATCCTCCATACAGACGTTGATATGTAAGATTTTATATATTTATGAACGGTACCTTTTTAGCATGCCAATATATATTATTTCGTGTTGGGAACTTATTGGTCATGCTTAAAATGTTTCGCGTATATTATATATAACGCGTTAGGAGTTGAACCAGAATGAGTAGGTTCTAAGCAAGCATATTCATTTTCAAACGATGATCATGTTTATATAATTATGCACGGTATTGAGTTGAGGGACCCTCTTCCAATATAGTTAACAAGTGTTCCTTCGAGGCATCAACACAACTTTCCCAACCGTATTTGGTCGGAACATACAGCTCCAAAATTGGAACTAAGCATTTCCATAAAAATACAATATTAGAGTTTAATATTGGGCTAGCAAAGGTGCATGATATATATAATCTCCCTTCATTTTTCTTCATTGGCAATCCATCATAACCGTTCATGTTAAGTTAAACTACTACAACAGATGAGTTCCTATTGGCAGGTTTAGTCAAAATGCATTATGATTGCAACAGAATAATTCAACTCAACCACTATTTTTTACCTCATAATGTGAGTTGGAAAGAACACACCATCTTTTGTGGGTGTTAGGTATGAAGTGCAACTCAAGTCATCCATCCTCATGCAAAATGCCACAAACTGGGCCTAACTCTTAACAACTCCCATCCCCTTCTTTCAGTAATATAAAGCAAACCCATTCTCCAACTTCTTCTTCAGAGCCTCCTTTGTTTTCTATCTCATCCAAATCATGGCATTCTCTAGTGCTTTGGTTTTGGGCTCACTGATAGCAATCAACATGGCCCTGCCAACCCTTGCAACCGTCTACACCGTGGGAGATACTTCAGGTTGGGCAATTGGTGCTGATTATAGCACATGGACTGGTGACAAAACCTTTGCAGTGGGTGATAGTCTCGGTAAGTAACAACTAGGAAACGAACTTTTTGTAGTAATATATGCTCCCCCATTACATTTTATATAATAGGACCATGTTCAAATTTTGTTTCTATCATTCTATTATAACATACTATGTTCGATAAGAAGAGAAATAAGATGTGACCATATCAGCACTAAAGTACTTGATTCCATCATAACTCCACAGTTAAATGTGTTTTTAGTGAAAATAGTACCAAGATTTTGAATATTATAGGCTGTTCAAAAATGTTGTACTAAACTTATATTATAGTCTCCAAAATTAAAATTAGAAAGTGACTACAAATCATGCATTTATTTGTGACAGTGTTCAATTATGGAGCTGGGCACACAGTGGATGAAGTTAAGGAGAGTGACTACAAATCATGCACAACAGGGAACTCAATTAGTACAGACAGCAGTGGTGCCACCACCATTGCCCTTAAGACTGCAGGAACACATTACTTCATATGTTCTGTTCCTGGACACTGCTCTGGTGGCATGAAACTTGCTGTCACTGTGAAAGCAGGAAAAGCCACTGCTCCTTCAACCGGGAAGGCTTCACCTTCTGATAGCACCGCCACACCCACCACCACTACTTCCACCACTGCGGCTAAATCAAATTCTTCTTCAGCTTCTAGTCTCTCACCCATTGTTGCCATGTTGATTGTTTCGTGGATCTCTTACTGTGTTTTGCGTCTGGTTTAAGTTTGTCCACTCAGCCAGGACAGAGGCAGTGCTTTCTTTCCTTATATTATTATTATTATCACTCTGTTTTTTTGTTTGATTTATTCAGATTTATCTATGAGTACTAATCCAGGTCTTGTAGTATTAGTTATCTAGGAAATCTCTAATGTTTGTCTTTCATTCTTTTTTTTTAATATATAGAGTACCCAACTTTATATATGCTTTTTTTTTTAATGCATAATGATTTATGGTGAAGAAAGACTTCTCTTGTTTTAAATAAGGGTGAATGATAAGGTTAGAGTAATATACATGTCTTATGGTCTTACGGATAAAAAATATGCTTAAGTGATTTGGATAAATATAAAAATAAAATATTTAGGAGTAAATTAAAAAAAAAAAAAAAATCTTTCAACTTCATGTAATTTGAAGTTAATCTCCCAATTTTATTTTACTTTTATAATACCTGTTAGATCTAGCCTAGATAGATCATCGGTGTGAAATAAAATTTTGTAAACAATATGCACATGGAGAAATTCTCAGAGTGTTCTTTTAAGAAAAATGCCGAATTTAACATTGAAATTGCTCAATATTTGTTTATATACAACCGAAAATTTAGAATAGATTAAGTTATTTTATGAGTCTTTATAATTGTACTGAATTAAGATATAAGCTGTTTCAAACAAAAAAAATCACGGTAAACATACATTAGGCCATTTGGTGGTCGAACAGTTATGAGCAAATAAGTATTTATTTAAAAGAAAATATAAAAGTCATGCTAAAAACTTTTTGAATTATAAAGAATTATTTAAAATTCAATAAAATCAGAATAAATTTAACCATTAAAACATTTAGTGTGTTTTTGGTATCCGATAAAAAAATTATGAATCCACTTTTAATAGAAAAGACATAGAGTTACTTCTCCATTTAATATACTAGAAAATATAAACTCTTATTTACATTATTAAGAATGTGTTTCAAACAGATATAGAATAAGTATTTGTTTGGTATTATATTTGTGATCCACGTTTTTTTACATTTTCACGTCATAATATATTAAAAATAATTATCGTCAAATCACGTTCAAGTTAAGAATGAAAGCACAACACATTAAAAGTCATTTACCTTCAATTATCACAAATTTTGATGACTTACAAAGCAAGGAAGACTTTGCACCTGCTAACCAAACTAAAGCAAACACTATCCTGACCTTTTGCGTTTCTTTAAACAGCAATAGCTTTACTCTATTTCCAATGCATGTTTTTGGTAGAAGTAGAATTGAGAAACAAAAAAGAGGATGTACTGGAAAATCAAAATCCTTCTCCCTTTAGAAAGATTCGTTTATCCACGACTAAAAACAATGCTTAGTCAACTAACAATATTTTTGACGTAGGTTACATTTGAATATTTTTGTAACATTTTTTCTATGGTCGTTTTTTTTTTTGTAAATCCTGTTAAATAAAAAAAATTTGTTAAACAGATGCTATATAATCCACATCGTTTAGTATACTCACAAAAATTTTAACAGTTAATAATGCATTATTCTGTATATTCACTGGTGGCATTCTAAAGTACCAAAATGAAGAAGCATGAGTCTAATGGATTGAAATGAACCTATATTTGTCTACTGCAAATGAAAAAACAAACACACTATATAATCCTTCATTCATTTCAAATTATCTACTATTTTGAAATATTTAATTAATTTAGAATATTTGTTACTTTGAAAATATCTAGAAAATATTTTTTAAAAAAAAACCTTATTTATTAGTAGTATCTTACTTAATTGGCACAAATAATAAAATCAAAAATAAAAAAAAAAACGTAAAACATCTTATAAAAAGAATGTATTGTAGACAAATAAACCTAAAGAATGTTACAACAAGTCTTAATATATATATATATATATATATA